TACACATTAAAGCCATTTTGAGCCTTGTTTTTGTATTATGAGAAAGATACACCATATATGGTGTTGGGTTGCAGTTTATAGCATCTGATTGTGTTTGAACACAGTTCATCCACTTTTGATACTTTCTGTTCCTCACTTTAGTTTTTTTCAATGTGCGTACCAAGTGGTCAGACAATGAAGAATTCTGGAAAAACATTGATTTATCAACAAGGAATGCTTTAAATGCCCAGATGAAAAACAATCCTATTTCTATCACTGCACATGAGGAGGCTGCAAAAGACTGTACACACCTGCTTGAGCCTTTTGTAGTCTGAGTAATTGATTTCTGCAGAGTCCTTGGTGACGCGGGGGGAGTTTCTGTCTGCTGCAGTCATTGGTTGCTTTTTATGTGACGTCTGATGTCCTTCCTTTGATCAATGGGTTTAGATACAACATGCAGCAGACTGGAGCACAGATGACCTTTCTTTCCATCAATGACTCGCTGAAAGGCTCAGCTATAGTACCTTTGTGTCGCACAATGCAGAGCTCAGTCTGAAGTTTGTGAAGGAGAGGCAACAGTAGTGCTGATCCAGGGATTTGGTTCATTTGGCATCTTTTAATTATTTTTTCAGTTTTGATACTTGCAATCTGTGGATATTTTTTTTCTTTCGTATAAGATTACTTTGCAATTTGTTTTTATATGTAATTGTAATTTCCTGTTTGTAATTATCTAAGGTTATTACAAAATAAACAAAATTATTTTGCTATTAAATAGAAATAATTTAAAATATTAAATAGCTGGTCTGAGTGAAATAGTTTAAACCAGTCTTTTGAATTTTATACTGTAGGTCACTAATATCTAAAGTCTTTTATCTGATGTGCAGTTAGTCAGGCAACTCATTATATTAATTTCAAGATCATTTGGTACATATATCTGCCTTGAGCCCTCAATTACAAACTTTCTCTTAAGTAAACAATTTTATTAATGAATTGATAATTTAATTCACCAATAATGTAGAGGTGTTCCCAGGCTTTTGCGACAGATGACCTATAATAAGAGACTGAATGGACTGGTGCTCACTGGGACTGAGGCATCATCAATTTACTACAAATTGAGGTCATTCTGCATTTTTAAAAGGCATCTATTTGTATTCAGTAGGTTAAAGTTACCACTAGGATTAGTATGAACACTGTTGTCCATCTATACCTACTTTGTTTTAAATCGCAAATATCCAGGACTAGTAAGCATTAATGTTTTCCTAGAAAGACCACAGAGAATCTCTGGTTGCAGATCTGCAGTGTGATTTACCTGTGATTTGTTAAATGGTCCTGGGTACCATTTAACTAGTCACAGGTGGTTACAAACATCCTATGGAGCTTGTTAGATCCCCTGTACTTGGATGGCTGTATATTCAGCATGCCATCATAATTTAAAATGCATTTGAGAAAGATCTATTTTCTTTCTGATCACACTTCAATTAACTACATTATAAATGTCATTGCCTCTTAAATGAAGGAGATTAATGTAGAAAGAGTATATTGAGGTAAAAATGTAAAAGGAAAAAACAAGCAGGAATGTAGCTGAACACCAAGGATTCTGCATATCCTGGGTCTTTTGAATTAATCCAATCTGTAAATAAGATGTGGAGTTTTGTAGTCTAAGGAAATATGGTTTTTCAAAGGAAAGCTGGAAGCTGGCATTTTTGAAGAACAAATGACTGAAACCTAATAGTAATCTAATTGGTCCCTGTACTGGCTGGGATTAATCAAAATATCTTGCTGTCAGCTGCAGTACTGTGGGCACTTTGAGAAACTGAACACCATCCCAAGTTCTATCATAAAGATGATGACATTGAAGCTGACAGCGAGGCAGAGCTGCCCAGTCCACCAGATGTTCCTCTTCCTCTTTGCCCAGCAAATTCTCAGCAGGTAGTACTGCTTTCTGGAGCTCTATAGGCAATATTCCTCCAAGTGTATATTTAACCCTCTTGGCACTGGATCATTTTGAAGTACTTCTGCTAGTGGGAAAATTATTATGATTAATAATTTACCTATACTTCCTATGGTGCACATATAATATGGTCAGCTTAGTTCTATAGCCCAGCAAGGAAACAGCAGAGCAAAACTGGACCCAATGTAAAAAAAAAAATCTGCAACCATGATCGTTTTGTATTTGCCTGTGTATGAACTGTAAACATGGTTTCATAATCCTGAAGTAGAACTACAGTATACAGGGAATTTCAGTTAATAAATGTATCAATTGGAAAATTTGAGTATGAAAGACATAAAAGCCCTTGAACTGAAACTGGTGTGAAAGGATAAAAATACATATAATTTCTTAAGTAGACATTGCCTTTATCACACAATAGATGGTGGTTAAAAATGATGTTTTATAGGAATAACTGTCTTCAGTAGAGTAGAATCTGTAGTTCCTATGTGATTTTACTCATTAACACACAGCCCCACCAGGATATTTTATATCTGCTGCAAGGAGCATACCTGTCGTCTGATTAAACAATGTCTGCTAACTTTTGTAGATCCCATGACACTCATCAGTGTCTGTGTCTGGTTACATTTAGAGATGATTGGAACAGAAGATTATATTAACAAGGGGTATACGGTAATATGCAAAAAGTTTTTTTTGTAATAATTCTTGTGCATGGAATGGACATTGTATTGTATGTTGATAGGTGGAAACTTAAGAGGGCTTTATACATTTACATGTGCTTTATACACTTCACGTTCATTGCGAAAGTGTTTTCCTTTAAAGACGCAGGTAACTAACACTGAATGTGCAATGTTATTTATAAAACCAAATCCATGTCTTTTTTTAATTGAAAGATATCCTAGAATCCTAAATCATATCAGTGAAAGTTCAAACTTTCTGTTCCTCAATGCAAATGAATATCTTCAGTCCAGAGTTGGTTCAAGGTGTCTGTTGCATCAGTAATGGAATTTTAGAAAAAAAAATATTAAATTACTAAACTAATCTTGAGAAGAAGGATCATTTAAAAGTATTTGTGGCACTTTATGAATGTCAGAAGCATAAAGTGTTCCAAAATTGTTAATATACTTCAATTGTAATTTTATTTTAGTTTTTTAATTAAAATGTACACCTTTGTCAAAACAACTTGAAAGTTTTCTGCATGGCAGTTCGAGTCTATAAAGTGTTGAGTACAGCACTGTACAGTCAGCGGGTGAGGTAATAACTCTTGTTCAGCTTCCAGAAAATAAGGGTAATTAGCCACTTCAGTATTCTTCTGAAACTGAGTTCCATTTACAGTCAGGTACTGTTATGTGATGTTTTATATTTTATGCTGTACTAAAATACATCACTTGAAGGCTAAATGGTTTTAACAAGATGGTTAGTGTGAACGTGATATTTTATGTCTTAGTCATAGATTTCTAAAGCTTCTTTATGTTGTGAAAGAATGAACTATGTTTCTAGTCAAGGCCATTTTCTTGACTCAAAATGTCAAAGCTATGTAAAGCAAGGGGTCTGTCTTTTATTCAAGGAGAAGGGTGCAATGGATCGGTTTCGGTACACGTTTTATACTCACTATTTAGAAAAAATAAATTTGAACTTGAAATAGATTTCCAGTTCATACGGTTGAGAGATTTGTCCTTTGCTGACTGAAACAGATTTTCAGTTTATAAAACTGGTAATGCATTTTTCTCATAGTTTTGCAAAATTATGGCTAGCAGGTTTCTAGGGATTTGTGTCTTTAATTTAACTTCACATGTTCATGTCCATCATAACTGCATACCTTTTGCTTACTGAGACTGTAAGTGACTCCTAATTTTTAAAGATATCTTACACACAAAATCTCATTTTAATTTAAAGCCATTTTCAAGTAGGTTAAAGGCTTGGAAAGGTATAGCACAAATCATCTCTGTTTTCCAGCTGAAAAGACTGCACAGTCTTGTGGTTTTCTGTAACATAAAATAACCTCTTAAAAATAGTCTAAGCAGTACTGAACAATATGCAGTGAGTATGCAAATACTGTAGATCAGCTGCTTTTTCATTGTATGGCAAAAGTTGAGACCTTCTAGAACTAGAACCTTCTCTATATGTCTAATTATGTATGAAACTGAAAAACCTATATTCTGTTTCAAATGTATTATTAAGATGATGAAACTGAGTCAAGCTTTAATTTAACTCAGCAGGCACTCTTGTATATTGACTGTAACAATAGAACATACTGTACTGTACGTTGATAATGCAAAAAGAAATGTGAATGCCCATTCCAGCACTTTGCATTTTTCGCCATGGGGAAAGTCCATTTGTCTGATATGGCTACATGTTGTTTTCTTTTTTTATAAAGTTAATGTGTGTCTAGCATTCACATTTTCAGGATTCAAAGTGGCAGGTAGCCAATAAAGGAGACATGTTTACACACCTCAAAGACTTTGAGCTTTGAGAGCTGCTTGACAGTCACTGGTAAACACTCAGAGATGGGTCTTGTGTAGACCTACCACTACACCTTGCCCATTTTGCTGTTTGTGTAATACTAATGTATATACAGTAATTAATATATTAATGTATATATGTGTGGTAATGTAGCATTGCTTTTACCAGATATAACCAAGAGTTGTTAGAAAGCATTTTTAAAAAGTCTGGACTGATAGAACCTTGTTTTTATTTAAGCAAAAGTGAACACTAAACAAATGGCTGAGAATACCATTTTGTAATGTCTATTCTTTGCAATTCTTGTTGAGTTGAGTCTTATTCCTTGGTGCTCTAAACCTTGCAGCAGTTTATGTGGGATGCAATTAGATGCTTCTTTATGAACTATGTGACATGTCTAGTGCATAGAAGCTGTTCTCCTATTTTGGGAGTTTTCCAAAGATGGAAGGCCTTGGTGATCTTGATTTTTGGAGTGTTTCTGAATACAGCACCTCTTTTCAATCATTAATTTTAATATTGAAGCTCTTGGGAAAGAGTTGCTCTGCAAGTGCTCATTGTCAAGTAACCCCCCCCCCGTGTGTGCTCTAGGCTAAGGCAGGTCTCTCTCTTCCAGTCAGCTGCCCTGGGGGGTGCCGCCCACCTCGTCAATTTCTGCAGCACCGACACAGTCCCTGGGATTCTCCTGACTCAGGAATACTACAGCTGCCCCATGGCAGGGTTCTCCATCCCAGCTGCAGAGCACAGGTGAGGTCCTGACCTTCGCTGCTGTCTCTTTTAAATCCTGTTCTACTCAAGAGAATACATGCTGGGAAATGGATCATGTGTCCTTTGATAGTAGCATAAGTACACTTTATCTTATTATATGGGCATATCTTTTTAAGAATGTGGTAGCCAGTGGGATTAGATGAATTGAATCAATTGGTTTAAGATTTTTAGAAAAAATTACGAAATATGTGCTTTTAAAAATATTTCTATTCAGATTTATAAAATGTCAAAACACAAATTTTAAGAGTCAGTCTTCTCATTTCAGCTGGTCTTTAGCCTTAGTCCTTCCTGCCTGTGCCTGTAGGACAGTATTTACCATATTGTCCATTGTTCTCCACAGTCTTCATGTCTTTCCACTCTATTTGAAACATTCCTAATCAGTACTTTTTTTACTTGTCTCCTTTATTGTCCCAGATAATAAATTTGCTTTGCAGGCAGGTAAAACACTTCAAACAATATATTTAACACAACATGAACCCAATAAAAATAACAAACCTGCATGCATAAGATGAGAAAAGGCTAGCACTTTCACAATGTAGAAAAAAAACACATAAAAAGGGTCATCGGATTGTGAGATAGATACATAAGACATATACATTATGAAAAAATAAAATAAAATTGTATTGAAAAGTTAATAGCCGTGGAGGGGAGGGCAAATTAGTTTTCTTGCACTTAAACCTGGGTAGCCTTAATCAAGGGGTGGTTGTGATATCAGTGATTATACCGGCCTTCTGCACTATTTGTTTAGCATACTGTAGATGGCCGCTGCTATTGTGCATCGATAATGTTGCTGGTTACCTTCATCATCCCGTTTAGTTTGTTTTTATTGCATGTATTTAGGTTACCAAACCAGGCTACAATACTTAATGTTAGAACAGATTCAATAGGAGGCCCATTCACACTGCCTACCTCAAGCCCTGGTGTCTTCTCTTCCAGGTTCATTATACTGTAGATGTGTATTTTGTTCTGTCTTTTCTACCTTCATTGTTAGTCTCTCTATCCTTATAAGTGATTTCCAATGTTGATCTAAGTCATTTATGGTGAAACACATTGTTTCTGAGCATTTGTTTTCATACTGTGCCGTTTTAACATTGCCCTCTGTAGCTATGGCAACACTGATTGCCTGTTAACATAACACTTTCAACTTAAGGGAGGTGTTTTTCCGTCTCCAAATATTTTTAGGCTTTCTAAAACCAGCTTTTGCCTTTCCAGTTATTCTTACCTCACTGGAACCATCTTAGCTGATTGTACTGCCAAGTTATGTAAATATCTCTGTCCTCTGATCATTAGTATCAAGATCTCCTTCTCTGACTGCCATGATCTTACATTGAGTCTTAAACTTTCTTCTTGACTATTACTTCCTCTGTCTTATCTGTGCACACTCTATTAAAAGTATCATTAGTGAAATCAAGGTCAGTTTGTCTAGATTCATTCTGATTTCAGGCAGTATTTTGTGTTTTTACACCAAATTCTTGAGCTCTGATGAGCTTGAGCTTCTGAACTGATGACTGCCCCTATCACACACCTGTCTTAATTTCAAATGGCTTGAGCAAATTCATTATTCATTCTGGGTAATGTGGCATCCTGTGTTGCTGTAAAAAGCTTTCAAGATGTTGATTGGCTTAGTTGGGATTCTATATTGTTTGACAGCGTCCCACACTTCCTCTCAATTCACACTTTTCTAGTATCATTTAAAAGTAACTAAGCTTTGTTGCTTGGCTTCCTTGAAAATGGATTGTACACATTTGTCTCAATGGGAAAATCACATCTGTGTGTGACCTCACTTGTTCGAAACCCGATTGTTGTACATGAAACATGCTGTCCTCATTTCATTTGAACAAAGGCTACTTATATTTCACTGGTAACAGACAGAAATGTTAGAACAGATAGAACCCCTCTTCAGTTTGAGCAGTTGCTTGCATTTCTTTTCTTAGGCTATTTGAGAATGTCACTGAGGTCCATTCTTCAGGTATTCTGCCTTTTGCCAAAATCTTTCTGCATAGCCAGACGAGCATTGCTACTATATCTTTGCCACCATCCTGAAAGACTTCTGGATAAGTGTCATCTAAGCCTTGCGCCTTGTGAATTGTATGCTTTCACAGTGCTTCAGTGACATCTAATTCAGACACATCTGTATTCAAATCTAGTATTTTATTGTTGGTGATTTCAGGTGCGGGCAGCACAGTGGTGCAGCAGTTAACATTGTTGCCTAGCAGCACTGGGGAGCTGGGGTGCTATCTGTGTGGAGTTTGTATGTTCACCTCATGTTTGCATGGGTTTCCTCTGGGCGGGAAAATTGTCCCGGCTGTGAGTGCTGTGTGTCCGTGTGTGCCCTGCAGTGGACTGCAGTCTCCTCCAAGGTGTATCCTGCCTTGATCCTGTCCTGTATCCTGCAGGTGTATCCTGCTTGCTGGGACTTGCTCTACCCTGTTCTTGTATTGGGTAAAATGGTTAGAAAAAAGATGGATTTCAAGTGTTGATATTGGATATAGTTTAAGTGTTTTTGAACTCTTACATTAATGTTTTTTTTTGTCCTTCCTGAGTTTTCAGAATCTCTACTTTTTTCTTTCACTGGCATTCTGCTGGACTTAACCATAACCAGCTAATTGCTTCAGAACTGTTTAAAGCATTTCTTCCTTTTATCCTTTCACATTATGCAGATTTTTAGTTTATCCAAGTTTGCTTGTCTCTTTTGCATTGTATACTGTATTTACTTCCTTGTTAAGGTTTCTGTGAGTTTGTTTGGATTGTTCTCTTCCATTCTGCAGCATTAGTGCGTCTTTTCCTTTTTTGTCAATAACCTTGTTTGTTTCTTTTCTGATCCCCTGCTCTTTCATACCGCCAGTTGTTTTTTTTCTGCTGTTTTAATTACAGCCGTTTTGTGGTTTTCCCAGTTATTCTCCGGTTCATTTTCTTAAAGGTTTTTCAGAAGCTTAAAGCTATTGATAAGTTGTATCTATTGGTTGTTTTGTATCTTGGCTTCATAGAAATTTCTGATATCAAAAGGTTTGATCCTGTCATCTCCCTTTTCTGGCTTTCTGAATTTTATTTTTATACTTGACAGTGATTACTCCACTCATATGCTTCTCCAAACACTGTCTACCTCTGATGTTTGCCATCACTGCCTAATAAAATTTAATCAATTTCATTTTGTTCTCTCCCATCTGCAGACTCTTCTTGTGAATGCTTCTGTGCTGGAAGAAAGAGTTGCATATGCTGAAATTGTTGTCGGCACATAATTCAATGCATCTCGTGCTATTATCAGTTAGTTTTTATTTTGTATGTGGGCAATACCGTTTTTCCCATTCCCTGCTGTCTTTTCCAATCTGAGTGTTGAAGTCCCTCATGACCAAGACAAAATGGTGGTTTGATATTTCTTTGGTGATGGTTTCCTTCTTGAAAGAAATTGTCATTTTGCCAAAATGACTATTTTCTTGGCAGTTTTGCTCATAATGATCCCTATGCCTCAAATATCATCTGTCTCCACCTCAATATTGTATATATAATATGTAATAGTTTTTTTCAAATGATGTTATGATTTTTATTCTTTCCATATAATATCATACTCTTATGATGTTTAATTCAAAATTGTCTGTTTCACTGATTAGCTGGGATGATTTTCCTGTGTTGCTCAGAGTGCATACATTCCAGTTGGTGATGGATGTATAGTTTTTAGCCGTAAGAGGTTGGAACATCAGCTGAATGACTTCCATATGACTTTTGTCAGTGAACATCATAATTGCCTTTACGTGTTTTCTATCTTCTGCAAGTCATGGCATTTGGTTTATGTGAGGGATTCAGTAGTTAAGGGCTTTTTTTGAGAAGGGTGAGAAGTTACGCTTCTGACAAGCCCTCCTCCTATAAATCTAGGCTTGGGGCTGGATATTACACTTTTTTATATATCCTCCTACACATTTTGCTGTATGGTTTTCTTTGAAAATGAATATACCAGTGTGACAGACCCCAGCCTTAAACAAGGTGGCTCCAGGGATGTGAACAAAAAAATATCCACGCTGGCAATACTGAATTGAGCATGTATATCCAGAAGACACCAAATTAGCCTCCCCCCACTGCTATCAAACAACCAACCCCCATTAACACTGGGATAATACTTTATATACCTAGACGATCCACTCATCACACCCTAGTGAGAGTGTGCACAATGCACATTACCCAATCCTCAACCCGTCATCCAATAATCTAATCCATCAAATAATTCCCACTTGCTGTGTCTATTTACAAATAAAAAAGGCCTTTAACAGTCTCTAGTGGCAGGTCGACTGCTATTGCCATCTCTTACAAGACGAGCCTTCCACAACCAGATGGGATTTGTTATGGTAAAGTGTACTGTATCTACGAAAAGAGAGATTCATTAAAAAGTTCTTTGTTTAAGTTTTCCCTTATTTGATTGACAAATACAGGTTTTAGTTTTCCTTCACATAGTTTGTTTTCCTCCTGAGAGACATGAAGCACTCAATGGGACTTGATGCTCAGAACAGCGTTTATGATCCATCTGTTGGTTGCTACAGTACCATCATCTCATGGGGGAGAAACCGGGAGGAGGAGGCGTTCGAGAGCCTGCTCAACCAGTTCCCCTCAGGGCCCATCTCTGTGGTCAGCGACAGCTATGACATATTCAAGGCCTGCAGGCACATCTGGGGGGAGAAGCTGAAAGATCGAGTCATAGAGCGCAGCGAGGGCTCTACACTGGTGATCCGACCAGACTCGGGGGACCCAACAGAGACCGTTATCGAAGTATGTAATGCAAAAACTATATTTTTTACTTTTCCCTTCATGGCTGCTGCAGGGGGGAGCTGTCTCTGAGCAGAACAGTAAGAGATGATGTGCATGTGATCCCTTACTGTGAGTCGGTCTGATGTCAGTCCTTCATGTGAAAGGATTTATTATCTTGTCTTGTTTTTTTTTGCTGAAACAGTATTTTCCTTCCAAGCGAAGCAAACTTCTAATTGATCTTGTCTAAAAAAGAGTTGAGCTTTTTGCAGTAGTGAGAAGAATAGACTTGACTATTATATCAGCACTTTCTCTTCCTTAACTGTTCCTCAGCATTCTGCATATTTAAAACAATTTGTTAATTACACAATAAATCTCTTTAGATCAGTACTGCTGAATTTGTGTTTCTCCATCCAGCTCTGAAATTATTTGATTAACAACAATTAAGGTTCTGTCTTGTAATAGATAGGAATGGAAGTGCCATGTGTTGAGTAGGCCTACTATAGTTTGATCAATAATAATTGAAAAGTTGCCTTGTGTCCAATAATTTAAATAATTGTGCCCTAGAAACTGCTATTTCACTGTTTTTGGTCCTGTGTTCACATTTGGCCTAGCGAACCATCTGTGTGGAGTGTGCATGTTCTTTCATGTTTAAGTAGGTTTTCTCTAGGTTGTGTGGATTCTTACCACCTTTCAAAAACATGCTGGTCAGGTTGATTGGCATCTCTTGCCCCTTAGTCCTTCTTCATGTGTCCCTGCAGGATAGATGCTGGAATGCCATAGCCTTTATCATGAATAAGTGGTTTTCTGATCTTTCTGGTGGATGGATTTCTGAGCTACTTTTTGTTAACAAAATTAATGAGATATTGTACATAACTGTTTGTGACTTCATGTCATGGTCTTTTTTCTAGTGAGGGGTTCATAGAGGTTCATTTGGGGGTGGAGCGGTGGCTCTGTGGCTAAGGATCTGCGCCTGTGGCTGGAAGGTTGCCGATTCAAATCCTGCAGTCGGCAGAGGAATCCTACTTCCTGGTGCCCCTGAGCAAGGCCCTTAACCCCAACTGCTCCAGGGGCGCTGTACAATGGCTGACCCTGTGCTCTGACCCCAGGCTCTCTCCCTGTCTGTGTGTCTGTGTGTCTCATGGAGAGCAAGCTGGGGTATGCGAAAGGACAAATTCCTAATGCAAGAAATTGTAAAGGGTTAATAAAGTGATGTTATTATTATAATTGAAGTTAGATGTGCTTCCCTGTAATTAAGAATTCTGAGTTGAATCATACAGATCAGAACAAAATCTGAAGGTTGCAATGTTGCATTTTAAAGTTATGTGCACATCATTATGTGACTTTACTGTATGTGTACCCATCTGTGAAAACTGTTTGGGTTTTGCAGAGCTCAGTTTCTGTCTGTGTGTCTACTGTCACATGATGAAAATATTTCCCTCTAAGGTTCTGAAGATTTTGGAAGATTGTTTTGGAAGCACTTTGAATTCAGTGGGATACAAACTGCTTCCACCCTACATCCGGATCATCCAGGGAGATGGAATCGATATCAACTCCATTGAAGAGGTAGGCCATGCCTTTCAGGGCTTTTGGAGGAAATTAGCTGTGGTTAGTAGCTTTCACCAGGATTGAGGAATGACTGTCACATTGTGAGTACCTTCACCCATGAAAAGGTTTAGTAGTAAAAGCCATTTGTCTCTGCAGATTCTGAAAAAGCTGGATGATGAAGGATGGAGTGCAGAAAACGTTTTCTTTGGCTGTGGCAGTTCTCTTCTACAGAAGATCAACCGAGACACGTTAAACTGTGCCTTTAAATGCAGTTACGTTGAAACAGATGGAAAAGGGGTAATTTTTTATTGTCTATTCTATAGCAGTTGCTGTATTCCTTATTCTAAAATATACAAAACACTTTATAAAGAATTATTTTGATCTTTTGACTAAGAGTTCTGTAGATCTTTTTTTCTCCGTTTCGTTTTTTTCAGGGGGTATGTTATAGGACTTAGAATCAGACCCCTTCCATGTTTAACTTCCTGTAGAGTGGTAGTACCCGTATGATATTTTGTGTGTTCCTAATACCGGTTGGATCACTTTACACCTAAAATGTTTACTTTTGTCTGGAAAATGTCACCCCAATCCATGATTTTGTCTTTTTCCTGTTTGCCACTCCCCCAATTACTACTGTCAGCAATTTTGAGTACTTTTCTAACTTTACCAGAATCCAGATCATTGCTCTAAATCAGCAAGGGCAATGAGCCTGTAGCACCATGTGCGTTCATTACCTTGTATTGATTTGGCTTTTAATTTGACAATGAATCGTTTAAGCATTTGAGGAGTTCTGATAAGCTTTATGGAAATTTAAATTGTCATATTCTTTAGTTTTATCGGGTTGTGAGAATGCAGATCAAGTTAGACAAGATCTGCCCTTTCTAAACCCATGTTGGCTTTCTCTTAAAATGTCCATGTTTATCTCTTAACTATCATGTCCATAACTTTACCAGTAGCTAAAGTTAAACTGATAAGTTTATAGGATCCTGGTTCACTTCTATCCTGTTGATTACCTCTTCAACACTATAAATAGTCAGACATTCCTCCCCTGTAATTGCTACCCAGCAGCCTCCCACCCTCTACCACCATTCTAGCAGCTCCTTAGTTCAGCTCATGTTCAGGTTAAACATGTTCTAGTCACATTTGCATAGCACAGGGCTTATCTGGCTTCTGAAATAACTCCAGTATTAAAAAGAGAAAAGTAGATGTAATAATTCAAGAATTTGCAGGTTTATGTGAACCAGTTACCAGTATGTACATTTTGTTTTCATGCCTGCCTTAATGTGGAAGGATGAGAAAACAAATACATGTAACCCTGGACTAATGGTGCTCTCCATCGGGTATGACTGAATTTAGTAATCTCCTGTAAAGCCTGGAAGATCCTCACTTGCTTTTGATCAACTGGCTGCATCTAAACGGAATTGTTCTTTTTGTTTGTTTGTTTGTTTGTTTGTTTCTTCCTCAGATGGATGTGTATAAACAGCCGGTAACAGACCCTTCCAAAGGGTCAAAGAGAGGTCGACTGTCTTTAAGAAGGAACTCTGATGGATTGGTAGAGACCATAGAAGAAGGGAATGGGAAGCCTGAGGAGGTAATCTCTCTAAATATCACAATTTCAGTATGATTCTTTGAGAAGGGTCAGTGTCCCTGATAGGTGTTTCATGATGCTTTGTACCTGACTTGACTAAGATGCTCAGCAGAACAATTCTATTTAACATTCATGAAATTGGACCTTTTAAAAAAAGAATGAATTATTTCGATCACCTCATCAAGTGATATGGTGTCATGGCTGTGAGCTCTTCTTACTCGCAGCTCTTACGTCTTGAGTTTGATTCTGGACTGGGATTTCTTCTGTGTGGAGTTTGCATGTTCTTTCTGCAATCGTGTGTCTGGATTTCTCATAGCTTCCAAAGACATGATGGCTAGGTTAACTGGAATCTGTAAATTGTCCCTTTTTCATCTGTGTGTGTGTATATATACTCTAGGATAAACTGTCACATTCTAGACGACAAAGCTAGAGCTCCATTCCTGACTTTCAAAGTATGTACAGTATTCAGTATTTCTGAAAAGCACACTCCCATTCTTTCTTCTCTGATTGCTTACAGTGAAACACAAAGCAGTTCACCACTGAGAAAACAAAACATTTATCTTTTATGAAAATATTACATGTTCTTACAAAAGCCATTTTTTTCCCTTTCAATTAAGGACATGCTAGTCACTGTTTTTGAGAATGGGACCATTGTGAAAGAGTACACGCTGGAAGAGATCAGAAAACACGCCCAGCTGTGGGAGGAAAACCTAGACATATTGCAGCATAATGACGACGCCTTGCAAGAAACCGAACAGAATCAGAAAAATGTCATGAATGGAGTACATTAAACAACTTGTGCTGCAGCTGCCACAGTTCCTTATCATGGACCAATGGATCTGCCTTTTTATAGCCTACACTTTAGGTGCATTTAATTGTTTTCTTTAAATGTTATTTTTTTAATTTAATGTTGAAGCTAGACACTTTACATGTAATCAATGTATCCTGATTCTTAGAAAAAGGTTTGTGATTTTTCTAAATAGAAGAAATATTTTCCAATTTTCAGATTGAAGAGTTTATCCATGTGAAAAATCGAACATTTCTTCCTACTTTTCCCTGTTAGGTTTGAAGTTGTTTATTCTCAAAGCACTAAGTTTTCTAAAGGTCTGTGGTGTATCCACAGCCTGTCCTGTTTCACAAAAAAGCATATTCATTCTTATAAATACACCATTAGCTTGTCAGCTGCACTTCATTATCATTGAAGTAACTCTTTTAGCATCATTTGATAACATTTTATATTGAATTTAACTTTTTGGTTTCAAGGCAACATGTAATTTCATGACATTTTATAAAGATCTGGTTTATTATGAATGTTTTTTATTTAATCTTCTCTATTTAACTGTTGGTGACTGCTACATTTAAAAATCAAAACTCAGTTTGAAGAACTTTGCTGTATATTCATGTCATTTCATAATTTGTTTAAATGAATGTTTTTAACTTAGATATTCTGTTGTTACATTACAGTGAGAAGGGTGTTTTAATTGGTGCTCTCAACTATTTTTAAATGGTTTTCTAATTTTATTTCATGAATTTATTTGGCACCGGTTTCATAATAAGTTAATAACTGCATTCCTTTAGCACTTTCCTTCCTGAATGAGTGGACCTACTTCAACAACTACTGAAGTGCAGTACCTTGTGTAACATGTGACAACCATAATACCCTCACAGACCTACTATACAGCTGATGAGATTGAAAAGTAACAAACTGTATTAGGAAGCAGCTTTTAGTAGACCAGACTCCTGAGAGTGAAAGCTAAACAGGATAAAGTAGCTAGCGCCAGTGCTTTTACAAACAGCCATTGGATCTTTAATGACCAAGTAGTCAGAATCCTGGTTTAAGTCCACATCTAAGGGATGGCACAGTCAACAGTACAGTTACCCCAATCACCATATTGGGACAGTGTTTGGTCTGGTCTAGGGGGAAAAGCACCATCTGCTCTTACAGCAGAAAACCAGGCTTTTCTTAGAGGTCTTCCAGCTTCTCCCCAGACTTGCTTGGCTTGGCTTCCTAGATCTGATGAGATCATGCTAAAAGTGGTAGCTTTGCTATTGGTTACAAAGAGAGAGTGATTTTGATATGATGTTTTCAGTGTTCATATTTTTTTACATTTGAAAAAGTTGCAAATTGAATGCAGAATTTAATCTATTATGATCCTCACCTAGATTACAGTGGTGTAGTTGTACAACACTATGCTATAAATGTACAGCATACCCTGAAATCTGAGCAACAGGTACAGGGTTTGTGCTGTACTGTATGTGAGAACTGCTAGAAAAAATGTTAGTCAAAACTTTACTCTTCTGAATTAAATTTCTAAAATAATTGTTGTAGGTAAATTTGTTTTTTTTTTTAATCTGGAGGCAAGGGGTTGATGTCAGGGGATGGAAATGGGAAAATGTGGAAACATTTTATATTGAAGTAGTTCGAGTAGGTGGCTGTTGGCATGTATAGGCTGCAAAGGAACAAGTAAAGATTTATTTCATGCTGAAAAGAGAAGAAAAGAAAAACAACGTTTCGGGTGTGACACCAGAAGAAGGTCCCACAGCCGAAACATTGTTTCTTTTCTTCTTTTTCAGCATGGAATAAACCTAAAATCTTATATTGTCCTTTTGAAAATAATGCCCTACAGCATAGTCTCCACAGTCTCTACAGTATGATGTTTCACGAGGGGGTTAGAACACTTTGGTTATATTAAAAAAGTAAAACATCTTATATAAACAACTATAAATATAAAAGTGCATTAAGGAAGGCATTTTAAAATAAAACTAAAATGGTCTTGCCCCATACAAAAAGTCTTCTGGGGTGTGGGTTGCAAGTTTGATTTTAAATTCATCAGAGCTTTAAAATCCTTGACCTTTGGAAAATCTCCTTCTGCAAAATGTAATTACAGGGGTGTGGAGACGATGGCACAATAGTAATCCAGGAGAATAATCTGAGCAAATTTGATAAGTGGAGTACTTCCCTTCAGTCATTCCAAATAGCAAATCATCCAGGCCCATACAGTATATTATTTTCTCTATTCAGTTTATGGTAATCAACTCACAATTTGGTAGGTTTTGATAAAATAAGACCTTTTAGTAAATCCCTTGTCCACCTCTACTTTGTTTTAAATTGACAGACAATTGAAATTGAAGGCAGAGGACCAGGTTGGCCTAGCCACTGCACGTTCACTTTGTGAGTCTGTTCATCTTTCACTCAGATTGCATAAGACTCCAGACAGCTGTAATACCAGTGATGTGTTTTTCCCATATTAATTACTTATGAATACCATAACATGCTGCTTTAGTAAAAACACCCTGACCTAGAGAAAACGGAGGATTGAACACGTTTAATTGCACAAGGAATGAAGATGTTCTTTTTTCAGCTGTAGTTGTGAATTTTATTTTTTTATGCTTTAGTCTTGGGCACGAGTGATTGATTCAAATTGTAGGAGTGACTGAGAGAAGCCTTTCTGTGGCAGGTATCACTATCATAAGAACGATACATCTCTCGTTTCTGTTTTGGGCCTTTGGTTTTCACTTATTGTATTCTCTTAAATGTAAATCAGCCTTTTCTTTGTTCTGAATAGAACGACTGAGTCTTGATCATTTGTTTTACAATTAAATGGTATTTGACTGCAGGACTGAGTCTATGGGGACAGTTGTCCTCAATTAAATTAATCTATGCCAATAAAAGTTTAATTCCTTTTCTATCTTATTTCAATTCATTTTGACATAGAAAATGAGAACAGCTATATTGCATGAATGCAGTTGTCCCTACCTCTTTTTGTACTTTATAATCATTTATGCAGATTTAACATATAAACATTATTGTACTTAAATGATATCTAGTATTCTACCGTGTAAATATTTCTTTATAGCTATAGCATGATTATATTTTAGCCTGCCATTGTTGAAGGCAGTATTTTTGTGTATTGGGAAAAAATAGAACATTTATGTCAATAAAGTTGAATTCTTATTTCTTTAACTTTATTACTCTTGATGAAATATCTGCATAGCAGAATTTTGTTTTTAAAGGATGTATCACAGAACCTTACTTGTATCATTGTAGAGGTAAAATTGTACGTTCTGCTTAAAGGTCAAATGTATTTATATCTCACACATGAAATGCATACAGTATCTCCACCAGAAAAACTATTTTCAGATAAGATGTTTAAATTATTATATTGAAAGCTTTAGAATGGTATTTGTTTTGCTTACTTTTTAAATTATAACAAGCCACATACAGTATATAAAATATATCCTGAAATAATGGAGTTTAACACAAAGCTATTGCTGTTGCTGGAGGTGGGAACAAGTTGAAAGGGTAAGAACATAAGGAAAGCAAACTTTATTTGAGATAGTAATTTGTGTATCTAAAATGTGCATAGGTCAGAGGGTAAATGGGTCCAAGAAAAAGAGAGATAAAACAGACCCATAATTGGTTGAATAAGTACCTCCTGGAAGTTCAACTGCAGTGAAATTTTTCTCCTTTTCTGTTTTTTTGTGCAGTGTCTGGGCTGTGATGTATCTGCATGTATTGTACAGTATGTAGTAGCTGTAACAGCACCTAACCAATAGATTTTATTTTACTAAGAGGGTTACAGCCCAGTGACATGTTAGACGTACACAGAACGGCCATGAAATCAGACCTAATGCACTGCGCTAAATCAAAAGCTTTTAATTTAGTCCTGAAGATCCATGTGCAAATGAATATAAATAAACTTCAATTCTCATTTAACATGGCTGGAAATAAACCTGAGGTGTAGCCTCAGGCCTTAAATTGGTATAAATAGCAAATTGCCCTTTGGGCTGTTTCAAGGGTACATAACTGTCGTAGCTGTGAGCAGGTGTTCTTTCAGCTGGGCAGCAAGCTGGTTTAGTCACACTTGAAGGTTCTGCTTCAGTTCTTGAAACCTGAGATTTTAAATGTGCTTTTTGATAGAATGCCTTGTTTCCAAGAGAGATTTGCCTGGGGCAGACATGTTTTTACTTTTTGAAATTATTTTTTAAATGAGCGTTTAAAACACATTCTCTTATTTTTCGTTGTACTGTATATCTGGACACAAAAAAATAATTGGAGAGCCTACATCTAAACACACAGTATAACTGTCAGTTCCGAATTTTGTTTTTCCTTCTCTTAAGTTGATCTGTTCTGAAATTTAAAATGTCCTTTTTTATTTTCCTCTCCATACAGAAAAGAAACATTTTTTTTTATTGCAACTAGAAATGTATCATACACGTATAGCTGTCTCTCAATGAACACATTGATTGGAAGGCTGTAGACCTTTTAATAAAGAGGAAGAAATAATCCAATTCTGGAAAGGATTAAAGATGTTCGTCTAATGTGATGCAATTTAATAGAAGTCCACGGTGGACTTTTAAGTTATCTGGAAAACTGTACCTCTGTAAAAGTTAACTAAAATTCAGATTGCTTATCTGTCTCTGTAGAAATCTCTATAGTCTGTTTTATTTCCACAAGGAATCTATTCTAAATTTAAATATTTTCTATTTCTCTATCTTAACCACCTTAACTTAATTTTACCTTGTAATAGGAGAGAACAAAAAGTATTTTATTTTTAGTGTTTTCCTTTTGAAAACAGTGTATTTTGCTATATTCCCTACACTTGGGAGGTTGAGGGATCACAATTGAGTGAAGAATATTGTAAATGCAGCAAATGTTTTCTGCTGTTCTGCAATGTTTGTGTCAGTGGGTCAGAGAAGTGCATTAAGGGGGGTCATGCTTTCCATCGCAGGTCCTCTTTGTTAACCCTTTATTCTGCTGTTCTTGCCTGAAGCACATACCCTGAAGAAGTATGTACTTCTTTTCTTTTTTCTCACGACCATAAGGAACCACTAAACATTAAAAGCTCTGCAAAAATAAAACAATGCCTAGAGCTATACTGTACAATTTGTACAGTCTCTGTAAACGTGTGTGTAGTCTGGAATGTGTGGGGGAGAAATGTACTGTATGGCATCTCTTTGTCATAGAGATTACAGTAGGTCGTGTCCTCTTCTACTTTATACACCTCTCCGAATAATATATAATGCATTTACTTGGTTATCCCAAGTAATTGAATACCATTCGATCACTAAGCAAAACATATGATTCTGATGGGCAATTTTATGCAATTTAGAAACGTAATCTCGAGCCCGTCAATACTGGGGCAAATTACTCTTGTTCATCCTGAAAGACGAAACTGGATCATAGGATGTCATCTTGACTTGATCGTCCGTTGAGCCGGTCGTCTAGTTCTACTGTATATGTACAAAGCACAACTTGACTCTCACTTTCTCATCCAGTTTATTTGCTTTAACGGCTGTGTAATTGGTTGTATTTGCGATTGAAGTCACAAGGTTATGTTCTGCACTTTTTTTTTCCAGGAAGTGTATTCTCCTTTGTATCGCCTGGTTTCGTTTACGTTTATAAAATAGTGCAGGGAGACTTTTAGATGTACTGCACAACCGCTTTCTTGAGAGTAAGGAAACACTCGCGATCCCCAGTCCAATCATTTTACTGACAGGAAGGAAAAAATCATTATCCCAAACGGAATCGCTTTTGTGAAGGGGATGAAAAACAGCCCCTCACATGTGCAGTTATTATAAACAAAGCCTGATGATCAAAGAATGTGTATGTATTTTATATTTTAATGATCACATGCAGGGTTTAAAAATGAAAAAAGACTTAATTTTGCTTACAGTGCATGATTGATATTACTTAAACACATTTATTGTCCAAAAGTGAAGCATAAATATACAGTATGAGAAGAAAATATTTCACTGAGATAAGATATAAGTGCCGGTAACATTTTACTTCATTTTTTTGCAGAATAAAGCTGTCCTTAGTGACTTTGCCTTCGGACAGTGTTAGCCATGTATGACTTTA